AGCGGGAGAGAGAGGAGAGAATGAAAAAGCGGTGAGAATATTTTATGCACATCTTCATATGACCTTTGTGCATTTCTAAGATTCCTAATTTTTGTGAATTATTCTGTAGAATCTAAAATTATCTTGTGTGGTTTGCCAGTGCATTTTTATATGTTAAAATATATTTAAAAATCAAAGATATTGCCTGTTAAAATCATTATTTTTGAAAATATTTTATGCACATTTTCATGTGACCATTTCTAAGATTCCTAATTTTAATGAAATGTAATGTAGAGGTTATCTTTGTCTGGTTTGCTAGTTTTTTTTATTTATTATTTTTATGATATATTTAAATGTGTATATATTTTCTCTAGTTTTGTACCCTTTTATAAGTTAAAGTATATTTAAAATGTAAGGAAATCCACCGTTATAAATAATAATTTTTGATATAATAATATTTGACATAATAATTTCTGTTTTCATGTGACCTTCATGCATTTCTAAGATGCTTAATTTTTGTGAAAGAATCTGAAGTTATCTTTGTCTAGTATGCTGATTTATTTTTATTTATTATTTTTATATGATATATTATTTTTACATTTATTTTGTTTGTTGAAATATAAAGTTCAAGGAAACCCACTGTTAAAAAGACAAGTTTATTTTTAAGATTCAATAAATGTATGATTAATCAGTTTAAATAATAGTAATCTCAATATTGACCAAAATAATTGTTATTCTTCTCTGGTTTTCCCTGTAGGACCAAGTCGCGTAGCCGAGAACGCAAGAGGTCAGTTGCTCATTCACTTGTTCATTCAGCATTTATTTTCATGGCAGCTTATGTCTATTGTCAATTATTACAACAAACATGCAAATCAAGGTCTGTGATTAATTCATATAGTGGCAACAAGAATATTTCTCTAATCTCATGCATGTACCAGTTCATGTCTGTTTTTCCTCTCCTTGTGTTTGTAGGTCGCGTTCTCGTGACCGCGATCAAGAGCGCAGACGCCGGCGTTCCCGCTCCGCATCGCGAGAGAAGCGCCGTTCCCACTCTCGCTCCAAAGAGCGCGACAGACGCCGGCGGCACCGTTCCCGATCCAGATCCCGCTCGCGGCACAGCCGAGAACACTCACACAAGTAATAACAATTCATACTTTCTCGCTCAAACGAAGCTTTGAAAAGCCTGAATTGTGGTTTATTACAGTTTCTGAAACTAATTTATTTTTCACAATTTAATAATTTGTTTTATTTTATTGTTATAATTTAAGAACAATAATTAAAATTATGGATGCACGATATTATCTGACTAATATCGGAATCGGCCGATAATGACATGTCTTGCCGATAAGAGGAATACATTAACTCACATGTGCTCAGGTTGTGCTAGCGATTAGATCACGTCAGCATTGTGGCTCTTCTTGAAGCAAAGTTTTGCCTGAATGGTGATTGGATTCACTGTTTTGGATCGCTGCATTTAAACTGAGAATGCAGTACAGGTTTGGTATGTGATAGAGTAAATAGTAATATCACCTGCAGTGGCAGCAGTGACAGCCTCCCCTTGGTCCTAATGCCCGCTCAGTAAGGAGTTTTAATTCTGTATGGGGCGCTGTTGGCCTACTTCTAATAAAATGAAAGCAAAATACACAAATAATATTTAGACTGTTTCTGATTAAATAAAGCAGTAATTGATACCATAAAATCATGAGTATGTTTTGATTTAAAGGTCAGAAGCTATAGCTTACATGAACAAAAAAAATAAATAAATCACAAACATGACACTTAAAGGGTTAGTTCACCCAAAAATAAATATTAGGCTGCGTTTCACTCACACCCGATGCATCCTAGGTGTATATGACTCTCTTCTTTCAGACGAATCCAGTCGGAGTTATATTAAAAATTGTCTTTGATCTTTCAAGCTCTATCGTTGTACTCAGTGGGTGTTGCATTGCTTCAGTCCAAAAGACGTGAAATAAAAAGCACCCTTCCACAAAAAAAAGTGTCTCACATGGCTCCGGGGGGTGAACAAAGGCCTCCTGTAGCGAATTGATGCGTTTTTGTAAGAAAAATATCCATATTCAAAACATAATAATCACTTGAATCTAGCTTGCACTCACTGTTGTAAACGGAAGCAGTTCCGGAGGAATGACGTATGAGGTCAGCTTTGCGCATGCTCCGCTCAGAAGTGACGCACGCGGAGAGATCGAAACAAAATGGTCACTAATTAGAAGTACAAAACGAGGATTTGTAAAGAAGAATGTCGGAGGATTTCGATATAAGCCAAGAGGAGACTGGTTTTCCTTTGCTAAAGTAAGGAAACTTTGCTTCTTTTGATCCTGTAAACAAACGTTGGTTTTCACGAGACGCACCGGCGCATGCGCAACGCTGAACTCAAAATTGTTGCACTCAGCGCAACGCTGAACTCAAAATAATTGCACTCATGCCACCTCATTGAATGTCTGAAAATGTACCTACAAGCCACTTTTGTGTTCTTTTTGTGCCACCTCTGTAGTACAAATTAATT